CTCCCTATGTGCGTGTGTCTATGTCTACGTGATTATGTGTGCCAATGAGTGTTACCTACAGGTAATAGTCTCTCTCTCTCTCGCCTTCCCCCCTCTCTCTCTCCCTCTCCCTACGTGCGTGTGTCTATGTGTACGTGATCATGTGCGTGCCGATGCGTGCGGTGCGTGAGCGCGGCCGCCCTCCCGTCGCCGGTGACGGTCTCGCGCGAGTCCTGCGAGGGGCGGCGGGCGGAGGCTGCGCCGCGACCCCGGGATGATATAAAACCATTACGAGCTGCGAAGCTTGTGATTTTGCGGTCCGGTGCGATGGCAAGATATATGCGAAAGCAGACACTATTATCCGATCATTAGTTTAATGAGAAAACGCAATTGTGATCGCAAGATATAGAAAAGAAAAATGTTCGAGATAATGAAGATAAAACGGGAAGATAAATAATGTCTCATGCGAGAGTCAAAGGGAAAACGCAAAAAGAATCAGAGGTAATTTTGCGTTATTAATGCTGCGGCTGTGCTGTGCGCGGCAGGGGGGGGGTCGCGTGTGCCCCTGCTCGGCTCGACCGATCAAACCACCTCCAGGACGGGTATCAAAGGTGCCCGAGTCTTGGGCTAATTGTGGTCCGTCTCCGTGTAGGATAGTAGCGTGTTGGTGTGTGTAGGATGCTCAGGTAGGCGCGAGTTTCCTTGGCTCCGCCCCTCCCTCACCTGCCCAGGTATAAATGGGGGAGCGCGCGCGCCGCCCGGGCAGTTCATACCCACTACCAGGTTGAAGAAGGTCGGTTGTCGTGACCCACATAGTGTTGAGATTTCAGTGACTCTGTGACTCATTTCTTACGGGCTTAACGTACTTCTCGGAGCCTCGCGGTGCTCTGGCCGAGATGGACGGCGCTGGTCTAGTTTACCAGCAGATGGTGCACGCTTTTACCGACGCCTACGCTAACGCCCTGTGCGCCGCCGCCCGCCCACGCCCGACAGCGACTACGGATCGCTCAGCCCCGCGTCGTCGCCGCCTCCAAGTCCTACCAGAGTCTGCCTGTCGACAGCGACTAAGCCCCCGGGAGCCTCCGACGCCTGGGCGCCCTTCACGATGGCCCAGCAGGGACAGCAGGCGTCCGCCCCCGCCGTCTCCCCTTCCACCTACGCTGCATACCCAGATTACGCCCAGCTCTATGCCACGTCGGGACTTATGTACAGCAAACACAGCGGCGGCAGTCCTCCTCACAAGGGCGCCTCGTCCTCCGCGCCCCAAAGCGCGCCTCATCACCAGCAGCACAAGGTCGACCTCCACAGATCCTCCTCGGCGTTCCAGGCGAGTCCGAGCCCCCTGTCAGCCATGAAGGCCCCGCCGTCGCCGCTCGTGTCCATCGAGAACAAGCGGGAGCAGCAGCGCCTGGGAGTGCCCGCCGCCGCCGCGACGCCCTCCTCCAAGACGACCAGGACCTCCCGCTCCAGCAGCGGCGTGCGGTGCGGCGCCAGGAAGCAGCGGACGGGCCGCGAGGTGACGGACGGCGTGCGGAAGAAGCGCCGACTCGCCGCCAACGCCCGCGAGCGCCGCCGGATGGACAACCTCAACCAGGCCTTCGACCGCCTTCGGTCCGTCCTCCCGCAGCTGTGCGACGATCAGAAGCTCTCGAAGTACGATACCCTGCAGATGGCGCAGACCTACATCACGACGCTGGCCGAGCTCATCTAGCCCACGGGCCGACCCGTCGAGGCCCAGAGAGGTGCGCCCCTCCCCCACGCCCCCGCGGTCCGCTTGCTCACGCGTCGAGTGATTGCAGGACCGATTCCTCGGAAAGGTCTTGCAAGAGGCACGCGATCCCCTTCCCGCCTCGGAGCGCCACGCTCGGATCAGTTGGAGCGACGGCCCTGAACGACGACGGTTCCTCGTAATACTTGAGGGTTTAAGTATTTCTCCTTGACTTTTGTCTTGCAGCGGGAATTGCCCTTTCCCGCTGCCGCGAAGGAACGTCTCTGTTTCAGTGGCAGACTCCAGCGCTGCATTACTTGATCTCTCAAAATAAGGCAAGGAGACAGGGAACAACCAAAAAAACAACAAAAGGACAGATAAGTTTACAAGTGCAATAGAACCATCAAGAACAGAGAACGAAAGAAAAAAATAGATGGACACAAAAAAGACAAATGAAAGAAGAATTAAAAGACACACTAATGCTATGAAATATCACGTTGACATTATTTGAGAGTTTGTACAAACGATGGACACAGTAGATGAAAATCCCAGTGTTTTGTAACTATGCATAGATGGCTACTGTTCGTTTACCTTGATTGTTAACTCTGCTTTGTGCCAAACTGTATAAATGCCCCCCCCCCACCGACACCAGCTGCTTCTTCTGCAATAGCTCTCATATACATTATACCCGATTCAAAGATGTTACAGTATTAATGGATAATGTAAAAAATATATATGTCTAGTCATTATCATTCTCTTTTTTATGTGTATGTATCTTCATGTACATTCTAGGTTAAGGAATAATAAAAGAGA